AAAAGAATTAATCCAGACAGAAAATAGATGGTGGTTTTCAGGGCTGGGGGGGAGGGAGAATGATGAGTTATCACTTTTTAGGGTTGGGATCTCACTATATTGCCCAAGCTGGTCTTAAACTCCTGGACTCAAGTGATCTCCTGCCTCAGCCTCCAAAGTGCTGGAATCACAAGCATGAGCCACCGTGCTCAGCCCAATGTGTTTGTTGTTTAGGGGTACAGAGTTTCTGCTTTGCAAGATGAGAAAAGTTCTGGAGATAGATGGTAATGATGGTTGCATAATGATGTGAATGTGCTGAATGCCACCAAACTGTATCTCTAAAAATGTTTAAGATGGTAAATTCTATGTGTATTTTACCAAAACTAAAAATAAGTACACATTTTTACAAAATCCAATGAATTGTCCTTTGAGTGGGAACACTGACTATCCAAAGAGAAGAAGAAGAAGCTGAATAGCAATAGTAAGGTTGTGAGAAGAAAGATGTCTTTAGAGCTCAAAAAGAGGAAAAGAAGAATTGGCAGGAGCTGAGAACAACTTCTCTATTGTTAGAGGAAGACAGTCATGGAAACGCAGTCAGGTTTGGACAGGGAAGTTGAGGGGCTTCCCAGTTGATCATTCTTATTTTCCTCTCTAAATAAAGAAGGGAGGCCGGGCGTGGTGGCTCACGCCTGTAATCTAGTCTCTGGGAGGCCGAGGCGGCGATTTGGCTCGAGGTCAGGAGTTCGAAACCAGCCTGAGCAAGAGCGAGACCCGTCTTACTATAAATAGAAAGAAATTAATTGGCCAACTAAATATATAGTATACAAAAATTAGCGGACATGGTGGCGCATGCCTGTAGTCCCAGCTACTTGGGAGGCTGAGGCAGGAGGATCGCTTGAGCCCAGGAGATTGAGGTTGCTGTGAGCTAGGCTGACGCCACGGCACATCACCTAGCCTGGGCAATAAAGTGAGACTCTCGTCTCAAAAAAAAAAAAAAAAAGATGAGAGATAAAACAGTGTACCTGCTGCTGTGGTTTGAATGTTCCCTCCAAAACTCACGTTGAAACGTAATCCCCGCCGCAGCAGTATTGAGAGACGGGGCCTTTAAGAGGTGACTGGATCCCAGGGGCTCTCTGCCTTCATGAATGGATTAATCTGTTCATGGATTAATGCGTTAGTGGAAAAACAGGTTATCAGGCTTTATAAGAAGGGGAGAGAGGCCGGGCGCGGTGGCTCTCTCCTGTAATCCTAGCTCTCTGGGAGGCCGAGACAGGTGGATTGCTCAAGGTCAGGAGTTCAAAACCAGCCTGAGCAAGAGCGAGACCCGTCTCTACTATAAAAGAAAGAAATTAATTGGCCAACTAATATATATAGAAAAATGAGCTGGGCATGGTGGTGCATGCCTGTATCCCAGCTACTCGGGAGGCTGAGGCAGGAGGATCGCTTGAGCCAGAGTTGAGGTTGCTGTGAGCTAGGCTGACGCCACGGCACTCACTCTAGCATGGGCAACAACGAGGAGCAAAAAAAAAAAAAGAAAAAGAAAAAGAGGAAGGAGCGACCTGAGCTAGATATTAGCACGTTCGGCCACCAATGCCATGCCCTGCCCCCACTCGGACACACAGGAAGTCCCACCAGGAAGAAGGCTCTTACCAGACGCACCTCCTGGACCTACGCCTTTCCAGCCTCCATAACTGTAAAAAATAAATCTCTTTTCTTTACAATTATGCAGTTTCAGGTAACTTGTTATAAACAACAAAAGACAGACTAAGACACTTGCACAGTGGAGAACGGGAAGGGGAGGAATTGACCAGAGGGTTGCCAGGGGATTGTGGCAATGCTGAGGGCACATTCGAGTTTGGTGACCGTGTACTGATGGTGCCTTTTATGTTTGTTTTTTTGAGACAGAGTCTGGCTTTGTTGCCTGGGCTAGAGGTAGTGCCGTGGCGTCAGCCTAGCTCACAGCAACCTCAAACTCCTGGGCTCAAGCAATCCTGCTGCCTCAGCCTCCTGAGTAGCTGGGACTACAGGCATGCGCCACCATGCCGGCTAATATTTTCTATATATATTTTTAGTTTTCCAGATAATTTCTATTTTTAGTAGAGACGGGGTCTCGCTCTTGCTCAGGTGGTCTCAAACTTCTGACCTTGAGCGATCCTCCGGCCTCAACGTCCCAGAGTGCTAGGATTACAGGTGTGAGCCACCACGCCTGGCCTACTCTGCCCTTTAATGTGACTTTTCCAGTAATGCTCAATTCTTGAGGGGCGAGCCAGAAAACACTGATAGCTGGGCTTTTCTTCTCTAAGACTGGGACAATCCAAAGACAGAAATGCAGAGGAGTTGTCAGTGCCCTAACATGGCAGAGTGTTATTGAAATTACGGATCACGGAATCATATCTAAACAAGGAGTAAAGTGAGGGCGGGCGCCGAGGCCGGCGGATTGTCAAAGTCAGGAGTTCGAGACAGCCTGAGCAAGACTTAGACCCCGTCTCAATTACAAATAGAAAGAAATTATTGAACAACTAAATAAAATATAGAAAAAATTAGCCAGGCATGGTGGCACATGTGTGTAGTCCCAGCTACTCGGGAGGCTGAGGCAGGGAGATTGCTTGAGCCCAGGAGTTTGAGGTTGCTGTGGCTAGGCTGACGCACGGCACTCTTGCCCAGGCAACAAAGTGAGACTCTGTCTCGAAAATAAATAAAGAAATAAACAAGGAGGATGGTGAAAAAAGGAGAGGTGGATGTACTGAGGGTTTCTAGCAGGGGATGAAGGTCACAGTGGAAGTGCTGGGACAACAAAACGGAAGAGGTGGTCCATGTGTGAGAGCCGTGGATAACTGAGTGGGACACGGAGGGTGACAGCAGTCAGTGCTGCAGATCTTCTGAGTCAGTGGCTCCCCGACATATTTGCATCGCCAGGCATGAGAACCATGGTGCTGTTCTTACAGCACACGCGGTAAAGGAGCAGGCCACTCTGAGAATCAGGGAACCGACAGCTCACGGCCCAGCTGTGACCATTCATGGCACACCCGTTGGGAAGTTCTTTAGAAAAACTGAGAACTTCAGAACACCATCTGGGGGCGGACTGGTGGCTCACGCCTGTAATCCTAGCACTCTGGGAGGCGAGGCGGGCGGATTGCTCTAGGTCAGGAGTTCGAAACCAGCCTGAGCAAGAGCGAGACCCCTCTCTACTATAAATAGAAAGAAATTAATTGGCCAACTTACTATTATATAGAAAAAATTAGCCGGCATGGTGGCGCATGCCTGTAGCCCAGGCACTCAGGAGGCTGAGACAGGAGGGATCGCTTGACCAGGAGTTTGAGGTTGCTGTGAGCTAGGCTGACACCCAGGCACTCACTATAGCCTGGGAACAAGAGGAGACTCTGTCTCAGAAAAAAAAAAAAGAAAGAAAAAAAGAACACCATCTGGGGGAAAATGAGGACAAGAGCCCAGGAATGAGTAGATTGTAAGAAGCTGTTTTAGCCGGAGAACAGCCTGGAGGACATCCATTCAACAAAGGCAAATGGAAAAGGAACCCTTAAGGAAGAAATTGCTTTTATTCAGGGATGTGCTCTGCTTCTGGAATAGTTCCAGAGGGCATTGAGCAAGGGTTTCGAGGAATTGGAGGTGGCGGCGACTGAATCTGAGAGAGGCCCTGTCTAGCAGGAGTCTCCCTCCTGCTGAGTGGGGTTGGACACAGAGTCTCCATCTTCCCAGGAAGCTCAGCCTCACTGAGAGGAAGTGAGATCTGCAAACGCAGGATCCACTCTCTTTCCCAATTCCACAAAGCTCGGGACCCCAGCAAGGTAACTCCAATGCAGCTGCTATTCCAGATGTGGTCTCCTTATGGGATGAAATCAACCCAGCCCTTGGGTTGATGATCAGAGAAAACAGAGCAATGAGAAGTAGTTTGCTCTCGCCTGGGATGGTGTAGTGAGTGGGCTTCTGAATGGTGGCCCCAAAGATATGCCCGTACCCTAATCCCTGAAGCCTGGAAATGTTACCTTCTTTGGAAAAAAGGGCCATTGCAGATGGGATTAAGTTAAGGATCTCAAGATGAAATGATCCTGAATTACCCAGTAGGGCCCTAAATTCCATAATAAATGAACAGATAACAGAGAGATAGAGGAGATTTGAGAGACGCAGACACACACAGAGGAGAAGGTGATGTGAAGATGGAGGCAGAGATTGGAGTGACAAGGCCACAAGACAAGGAAAGCCACCAGTGACCCAAAGCTGGGAGAGGCTATGAGCCCATTCTCCCAGGCCCTCCAGAGGGAGTGAGGCTTTGCTGACCCCTTGATTTCAGACTTTGGGCCTCCAGAACTGTGAGAGGATAAATTTCTGTTGTTTAAGCCCCCAGGATGATGATTTGTTAAAGTAGCCCTAGAGAACTGAAAAAGGTGGATAGCATACCATCATACCTTCCCCGGGGTTAGATTATTTCGCCAACTCTGTTCCACAATGTACTCTCCAGGAAATTCGGCCTTTCATACCCCCAGATGTCATTCTAGTCCACTGGTTTGGTGACATCATGCTGATAAAAGCTAAATAGCAGGAAAGAGCAGACACTCTGTTGTCTTAAGACATGTACAGGCCGGGCGCGGTGGCTCACGCCTGTAATCTTAGCACTGTGGGGAGGCCGAAGCGGGGGATTGTTCGAGGTCAGGAGTTGGAAACCAGCCTGAGCAAGAGCGAGACCCGTCTCTACTATAAATAGAAAGAAATTAATTGGCCAACTAATATATATAGAAAAAATGAGCCAGGCATGGTGGCACATGCCTGTAGTCCCAGCTACTTGGGAGGCTGAGGCAGGAGGATCACTTGAGCCCAAAAGTTTAAGGTTGCAGTGAGCTATGATGACACCACTGCTCTCTAGCCAGGGCAACAGAGTAAGACTGTCTCAAAACAAAAACAAAAACCAAACATACACTTGGTGTCAGAAGTGTTGGGATTGGAAAACAGTCCATAATCTGTATCACAGTTGAACTCTTCCCCAAAAAACCTCTATCACAGAGAATGCTATTATGCCATCTGGTAGACCAGATGACCACTCTGCTCCCGAGCCTCTGCAGTGCTTGCTCAATGGGCTCATGAGCAAAGTGGCCATGTGGACCACATGAATCTGCCTCACCAAAGCTTAGCCAGCTACGTCACCGATGCATGCCCACCTCACTGGTAGCAGCAGTTGCTGAGCCCCCAATGTGGTATACTTTCCTAGGAAGGCCAGCCAAATACCTGGTCACCTGAGGATTACATTGGACCTCTTCCATCATGAATTGGGCAATGAGTTTTTCCTCCTTGGAATAAATAACTCTGGGCTTGTTATTTGCTTTTCTTGCCCTTTGCACTTTTGCCAATGGCAGCATCTGTGTATGCACTGAATGGCCCTATTCATCATCATGTTAACTCACACAATATTGCTTCTGATCAAGGAACTCAATTTACTAGGGCAGCAGTGTGCGTGTGGGGGGGTGTCTGTGTACCCCAATGCAGAACAGAGGCACAGCCTGTTTGAGGCTGGGTTGCAGTGCCAGGTTGGAGACAACATCGTTGGGGTCAGGGTGCTGACCCACAGGATGGGCAAACACTGGGAACCAGGGGCACACACATGATCCCAGGTCACCCAGGTTCCCAGAGACCTGGGAACTCCAGGGTGCCATTTCCCAAGATCGCACCCAGTGAGTCACTCTTCAAATGTTTGCTTCCTGTTCCTGCCACCCTGAACGCTGCCGCCCATGTGTTCCAGTGCCCACGGGGGGACTGCTCCCGCCACAAGGCACAACACAGTAAGTTGTGTAAGTGGGGACCATCTCGGGGCCATTTGGTGTACTGTGGGGTCAAGCAAAGAGAGGGACTGATTTAGACAGGAAAGGGAAAGAGTCGCTACACTTGGGACCTAGGAGGTGTGTGAATAGAATCTAGGGACGTCCCTGAGTAGCTTCGAATTGTGAATAATACCGTGTCCAGAGTCCCTATCAGTCCATAGCCCTCTCTCCTCAGGCAAGGCCTCAGGCTGGGCGCATGGACTCCCTCAGCTACGCTGGGCGCAGAAGGACAAAGAAGGTCTGGGCCCCCTCCCTTGGCAGGGGCACCACAGTGGGCATGCAGGCTCTACATTCCTCCTCCCCATTCCTGCCCCTCCCCCAGTCTGCGGACCCCGCTTCCTGCAGGTCCGCCCTCCGGCCCCTCCCTCCTCCGCAGCGCACGCACCTAGCTCCCGACCCCTCCCTTCGCCACTGGCCCGGCTGCCACCGTGGGGCTCGGCCTCAAAGCCTCCTCTCGGTCGTCCTGGAAGGCACCGCGCGGCAGCAGCGCGGGAAGCGCCCCGTTAGCTCATCCTCGCTGGGCGTCAGCAGCCGCCGCCAGGCCCCGCCCAGCGGCAGCCGCGGGGAAGGCCGCGCCCGGGACGACTGCGGAGCGCGGTGAGTGAGCGCGGCCAGAAGGGAGGGACCCAGGCGCCCCGGGTCCCCGCCCTGCCCATGCCTCGGGGCCAGGCGTCCCGACCTTCAGCTCCCTTTTTTTTTTTTAATCTTAGCTTGGTCAGTCCGTTCTAGGGCCGCAGAGCCGCCCCCCAAAATAAACCCTGCAGCCCTTCCCGGCTCTGGGGCCCCTGGCGCACCGGCCCTTCGGATACCCTCCCCTCTCGTGGGAATCAGGAGTCCAGAGCCCCCAGCCCCAGACTCGTCCTCATTAAGATTCCCAGTCCCTTCCTCTGTCCAGGAGCCAGGAATGCAGGCCAAAAATATCTCTCCCTTCCAGACCCAGGAGGCTTGTCTTGCAACAACTGCTGCTCTGAAAACCCAGGAGTCAGGGCTTCGATTGCTCTTTTGAGCCAAGGAACTGGGCCCCCAGGCGAGGCATCATGTGCCCCCAACTCCTACCGCTCTAGGTCCCGGGAATTTTGCTACCAGCACACCCCTAACCCACCGACCCCAGAGTCTGGCCTGCCCGTCCCTTACACCGCGGGTCCCAGTGTACGTGGGGATAAAGGGACCATTTTGCTTCTCCTTCGAGATCCTTAAATACAGAAATTCAGCTTCTGTTTCTTGGGGGAACTAGGAGTCAGGGATCTTAGCCCAGAACCTTCTAAAGCCCAGGCATCGGCACCTTCAATTCTATTCCCTCTCAGGGACCCACGAGACAGAGACCCTAACCCACAAACCGCGTTAAATTGGGGGGCCTCGTGCCCCGACCGCTGCGGCTCAGGTGTCTATGGTTTCATCCATCATGGCAGGGCAGGGGCCGGAGCAGACAGGGAGGGGGCAGGGAGAAGGAGAATTAAGTGAGGTGGGACGGGGGTGGGGACCTGAGCTGGGGTCTCCGTCCTAAACAAACCCTAAACACGCGGGTTTCTATGGCAACGGTCTTCCCTGACCTACCCTGGGGACTGCTCTAGGGCTGTGTCGGGGAGGGCAGCCCCCAGGAGTCCCCACTCCGCCAGCTGTTGTGTCTTCCTGTTTTGTCACCAAGGCAACGGTCAGCCCTCCATCCTCCTCGCTGGTAGGGCGGGAGATTCTCCGTAGGTTTATTTTCGGGAGGGGCGTGGCCTGACGTTGGCCCCGCCTTCAAGGCAGGACTGGGGTAGCCCAGGCTCGGGGATGTCCCTTTCCTCCGCCCCCGCCGGGAGTGTGGCTCCGGCCCCGCCCCCGGCCCCGCCCGTGCCCGGTCCCGCCAACTCCACCCAGCCCCCCAGACCCTTCTAGTCCGCAGCTGTGGTCTTTGCTTCTGCCGCAGTCGCCACTGGCTGGTTGAGGTGAGGCTGCTGGGACCCCAGAGGGCGGGAGCAGAGTCCACGATCTTTGGGTCCAGGGGGAGGAATGGGCTGGGATTCAGAACGTCTGCGACCCTGGAAAGCCTGGGGGTGGGTCAGGATTCTTGGGTCCTGGAGAGGATAGGGCTTGGGACCTGCACTCACGCAGGTCGTACCTCTGAGAGAGGAGGGAATGCAACCTGGACCTCTGGGTCTGGGGAAAGACTGGGCTGGGGGCCGGGACTACTGAGACTGGGGGAGGAGCGGCTGGGGACCTGGACTCCTAAGTCCAGAGGGAGGGTGTGACTGAAGACCCCAACTCCTGCGTCTGAGGGAGGAGGGGCTGGGGATGAGGACCCCTGGGTCTGAGGGAGGAGGGGCTGGGCATGAGGACCCCTGGCTGTGAGGGAGGAGGGGCTGGGGGTGTGGACCTCTGGGTCTGAAGACGTAGAGAAATGGGGATTCCTAGGTGTCCGGATTGAAGGAGGCAGGAGTCTGGTAGGTGGAGGTTCTTTAGGACGAAAAGAGCTTGGGGTTGGGAGGCCTGGGTTTGGGAAAGAGAATGGCGGGAGTTCAGAATTACCGACCCCCTCCCCATCGAGGAGACAGGCAGAATTGGAACTCTGGGCTCCCTGAAAGGCCAGGGGCGGGGGTGAGGTCCAGCTCCTAAAATGCAGGTGGGAAGCCAGGAGAGAACAAGGCTGGGTCCAGCATCCCTGGGCGCTGAGAGCCGAGGCTGGGGTTCAGGGTCCCGCCCCGAGTCTGTCGAGAGATGGGTGTGGCGCCCGTGGTGGAGCCGGGAGGGTACGAGGTGCTGGGTGTGGCCCAGGCTGCCGCTCTGCCAGGAAGCCTGGAGGGGTGTTTCTTCTCCCTCCTCCTGTCTCCGGCTGCGCATTCCTGAGCTCTGACCTCAGGCGACGGCTGGAGGCCCCAAGGGCGGGGCGGGACCCTCCCCGCGAGTGGTCCCCTCCCCACCCCCGCTGACCCACCTTCCGCGGGGAGCTGAGCCAGCCAGGCCCCGCCCTCTTCCTCCTCCCCCGTCGGGCGGGCGAAACCCGCCTTCTGGAAACCCGGCGCCCCGCAGGGGGTTGGGCTAGTCCCGACTTCCTCCTAGGGGTCCCGGAGGGGGCTGGGGCAGCGGAGGTGTCCGACTGCGTGTGGCACCTCGCGCCCTCGCCGAGGACCTGCGTCCCGGGAGGCGGTGGGGGTGTGGCTGTTGACCTCCGGGCAGGGCTCCAACGCTGCGCGCAGCTTCCGGCGCGGAGCCGGAGCTCCGGGAATCCAGGCCGCTCCCCTCTCAGACATGCTCGGGGGGCTGGCAGCCTTTCTTTATAGGGACCCAGAATTCGGGCTCCCAGCCCTCTCCTTTTAAAGCCTGGGAGTCCAGGCCCCTACTCCCTGAAATCCAGCAGAGGGGCGGGGGTCCCGGCACCGCCTCCTGGTCCCCGCCACATTCCAGATGGCTGGGCTGACTTGCAGCCCTTATAAGGCGCGGAGACGCCGGGCCGGGCTGGGCCGTCCGCCCCCGCAGCCACCGCCCAGGGTCCTCCCGCCGGCCGGCCGCCCGCTTCCCTGTCCCGAGCGGGGTTAGGATCACACACGCGCCCACTCTGGACCGCAGGGCGTGCACTTTGCGCCCATTTCCCTTCACGCCACCCACAGTTTGTGGAAGGGGAGGAAGGAGAGGGGCGGGGCTTCGCTGGGGTCACGACCCAGACCCCTTCTGGGCTCCTCGCCAAGTCCCTGCCCCAGCGAGGAGGCGCGCCCAGGCTACCGAGCCTCCTCGCAGCGTGGCGGCGGGTCTGCTGGGTCCCGGGAGGGAGACCCCGCTCCGAGTGAGCGCTGACGCCCTCTCTCCTACTCAGGTGCTCTTACCAGCCTTACCAGGTGTGTGACTTAATCCGTCTCCACAGCCAGATCTTTCTCCGTGGGTTCCTCAGCTAAGACCGCTGGTGAGTGGGCTGGGGGCGCAGACTCCTGGGTCTGAGGGAGGAGGGGCTGGGGCCTGGAACCCTGGATCCAAAGGGAGTTGAGGACTGGGGGCGCAGACTCCTGGGTCTAAGGCAGGAGGGGCTGGGAACCAGGACTCCTGGGTCCTGAGAGAAGGGCCTGGAATCTTGGGTTCCAAAGAAGAGGGTCGCAGACACTCTGAGGAAGAAGAGTGGCCTGGGGCTGGGCTCCTGTGCCTCTCGGAGCCGTTGTTCCAGCACGGGACTGGAAGAGGTTAAAAGCCTGTGACATTGCCATCCTGTGTGCCTGACACTGCAAGGAGGAAGTTTTATTTCCCTGTGGCTGAGAGAGGCCTCCTAAGTATTTTAGTGGCGTTAGCTGAGAGATTTAGACATTTTGCAGCCTGAGGAATGACCTGGGCACCTTGTCCCTAAGAGGCTGGGCATTTGATTCCTGAGGGTCTTTAGGACAAGGAGGTGAAAGCTGCAGGTTTTGGAAGGAGGGAAGAAGGGAGTTAGTTTCCCAGAGTCTAGGGCACGAGGTATTTATTCTCTAGACCAAGGGCCCAGGGTCCAGAGGTCTGACCTTGCATAATGGGAACTGTGAGGCCTGGAGATTTCACTAGAAGGGGCTGGGGCACTGGACAGTCAGGAATCTGGGGAGCTGAGTTTCCTAGAAGTTGGGGAACCAGCTAGCTAGGTTCTGGGGGGAGGGGAGAAGAGGAGGAGCAACCTCAGCTTTGGGTTTCAGTACTCAGCCCTGCAGCTCTGGCAGGAGTCAGATTGAGAGTGTAGATTCCTGATCTCTGAGGAAGGGGGTGGGGAGAGGAGGGGGCTGCTGAGAGTGTGGACCCAGTTCCAGCAGGGAGGGGAGAATCTTGGTTTTCGGCGGTTGGGAGCTCTGCTCGGGCCCCTGATAAGCGCTCAAGATTGGAATCTTGGCTGTTTAGGGGCTGGAAATGTCTAGATCACTGTGAGGTGGAGGAAGGAAGTTTGTTCACAGGGGCTGGGGTGCAGAGCACTAGATACTCAAAGGGGGGAAGTTGAGAGACGGGGGTTTTTTAGAACCTGCGGAAGACAGGCCTCTTGTCCTGACACTAGGGTGATGTCAGGAGGCAGAAAGGGAGGATGCTTTAGACCTGTCTTAAATGACTGGGTTGCTGAGCCCCTGGGGCAAGGCGGGAAAGCAGGAAGGAGGGTATCTGGATTGGGAAGAAAGAAATGTAGTTCTGCAGTAGTTAAACCTCAAGAGAGAGAAGATAGGTCTCTTTTTTTTTTTCGTTGTTTGGCTTATTTCTTTCTATTTATAGTAGAGACAGGGTCTCCCTCTTACTCAGGCTGGTCTCGAACTCCTGACCTTGAGCGATTCTCCTGCCTTGGCCTCCTAGAATGCTAGGATTACAGGCGTGAGCCACCGTGCCCAGCCAAGTCTCTTGAGAAGGAAAAAAACAGGGGCCTAGACTCCTGGGTTCTGACAAGGGTGAGGGAGGAGTGAGCCTGGAACCAAGGTGACCAACACGTTCCTGTATGCCCAGGATTGTCCCGGTTTGAAAACTGAAAGCGCCACATCCTGGGAACTCCCTAGCTAGAGCCCATATTAATCTGTCCCCAGGAGAGATGAGGGCGTGGAGGGCCTGTATTCCCTTGTTGGGACCTTGTGAGGACGCTGTCTTTCCCCTTCCCCCAGCCATGCCGGTGACAGTGACCCGAACAACCATCACAACCACCACGTCGTCGTCCTCGGGCCTAGGGTCCCCGACCATCGTGGGGTCCCCTCGGGCCCTGACCCATCCCCTGGGCCTCCTCCGCCTGCTGCAGCTGCTGTCCACCTGCGTGGCCTTCTCACTGGTGGCCAGTGTGGGTGCCTGGACAGGGCCCATGGGCAACTGGTCCATGTTCACCTGGTGCTTCTGCTTTGCCGTGACCCTGCTCATCCTCATCATCGAGTTAGGTGGGCTGCAGGCCCGCTTCCCCCTCTCTTGGCGCAACTTCCCCATCACCTTCGCCTGCTACGCCGCCCTCTTCTGCCTCTCGGCCTCCATCATCTACCCCACCACCTACGTCCAGTTCTTGTCTCACGGCCGTTCCCGGGACCATGCCATCGCCGCCACCTTCTTCTCCTGCATCGCTTGCGTGGCTTATGCCACCGAAGTGGCCTGGACCCGCGCGAGGCCCGGCGAGATCACCGGCTACATGGCCACCGTGCCAGGGCTGCTCAAGGTGCTGGAGACCTTCGTGGCCTGCATCATCTTCGCCTTCATCAGCAGCCCCCACCTGTACCAGCACCAGCCGGCCCTGGAGTGGTGCGTGGCGGTGTACGCCATCTGCTTCATCCTGGCGGCCATCGCCATCCTGCTGAACCTGGGGGACTGCACCAACATGCTGCCCATCCCCTTCCCCAGTTTCCTGTCAGGACTGGCCCTGCTGTCTGTCCTCTTCTACGCCACCGCCCTGGTCCTCTGGCCCCTCTACCAGTTTGATGAGAAGTACGGCGGCCAACCCCGGCGGGCGCGAGACATAGGCTGCGGCAACAGACACATCTACTACGTGTGTGACTGGGACCGCCGCCTGGCTGTGGCCATTTTGACGGCCATCAACCTGCTGGCGTACCTGGCCGACTTGGTGTACTCTGCCCGCCTGGTTTTTGTCAAGGTCTAAGACTCTTCCAACATCTTCATTTTTCTCACCCGGATTTTGAGTCCTTATTGCCTTTTAAAGTCTCCTCTCCCTCCTGCCCTTTTTCTTTCCTGCCTGATCCATCACTCTTTCCAATTTCTTTGACTCCTTTCGTCCCTTTCCTCTTGCTCTGTTTCCTCTCCTTCCTGTTCTGTTTTGTTGCCTACATCCTGTTTTGCCTGAGTTCTCTTTCTACTGTCTTCTACCTTTTCTTCCTCTCATCTCTTGGCTGGGTTTCCTGTTGGTTTTCCCATCCGCCTGTTTCCTGATCACCTCTTTCCATTTCCTTGGGAGCCCTGAGACTCGTTTCTCCCCCACCTCCACCCACCTCCGAAGGTGCTGAGCTCCACACATCCCACACCCCTCTTCGCAGCTGTCCGTGCCATGGGCCTCCTGCGGGGCCTCGTTGCCAAAGCATGCCTGCCCGCCCTAGCTGTGCCTTAGTCAGTGTGTGTGTGTGTGTGTGTTTGGGGGGAGTGGAGGGAGGGTAGCTCGCCATTGGGCCCCCTTTCTCCCAGTGGAGGAGGGTATGCAGTAGACCTCCCCTTTAAGTTAAAAAAAATTGCTGGAGGTCAATAATTTCTGGTGGGCGGGATGCTTTAAGCACAGACCCTGGCCCCACCTGGCGCTCAGCCTTGCCTGAGATTGGCTCTAGAAGTTTTGCCAGGCTTACTAAAACCCACTGCCTAGAGGCCATCTTAAAGGAAGCAAGGGACAGGTGCCTTTCATCCCAGCTATTCTCTGTGGTATCAGAAAGAGGAGTGAGGCAAAGAACCACAGGGTCTCGAAGACAACTGTCTGAAGTATTTGCGAGGGGCAGTAATGTGGCCCTCTAGCCTCAGTGTTAAAAATAACGTGTCCTGCTTTGCCAGGGAGGAGAAGAAAATGGCCACTGCCAAACTTCAAGGCAGTATCAGCCTGTTTTTTTTTTTTTTTTTCTCTGTCATGAGGGCAAAAATTACTAGGTGGCCCTATTGTCAAAGAGAGAAGTTTCTTTTCTGGGGGGGATGGGTGGGAGGATGGGATTGGTGCTGCCATAGCCAGAGGAATGCATTGCTTAAGTGTGTTTTGCACACGCACGGGTATTTCTGTGTGCTAGTTGCTTCTTGCTGCTGCTTCCTGCTTGTCTGGGACTCACATGCATAACGTGATATATATAAATGTATAAATATATATTTTATTTTTTTTAAATTCCCCGGAGCTTTTAGTTCCCATCAGCTCCTGCTGTTAAGCATAGAAGCCTTGTCCCTTCCCCCATTCCCACATCCATAATGTTCTTTTTTTTTTAAATCTCAATATAAAGATAAAAAAAGGACTTGTGCTTTCTTTATTATTGGGGAGGACTCCTGGGTCTGGTGGGAGAAGGGGGTTGGGGCCAAGATGACCTTGGCCTCATCAGAAAATGGTAGCTGAGTCTGGGCCTTTTAAATTACTTCCTCAAACTAGGAGGGCTGGGTGGGATAGAAATGAACAAGATTTGTCCCTCCTTGGAGTCCCATGAGTACCTCAGAAATACAATGTCCCAATGTAGGTGCTGGAGCTTTCCTCCAAAATTAACTCTTCCAGCTTCCCCACTTCAGGGCTGAGAACCCAAGCACCTACTCTGACCTGCCCCCTCCTCAGTTGCTCAGCAGACACTATCTATTCTTCCTCCTACATACCATTAATACTTGCTCCCCTCTCCAAGTCCCTGGCCCAGCTCAGGTTCCAGTTTGCTTCACCCGAGCTATTGCCCCAGCCTCCTCCTTGGCTATCCAACCTCCAGCCCACCCTGGCCTCAGAGGGATTCTTTCAACATCCAAATCTGATCCTGCCCTTCCCTGCGGAAGAACTTTCATATCCCTTTCCAGGTTGCCTAGAGATATATAAAAACTCCTCAGTCCATCCTTCAAGGCCTTTAGCATGTGATCCCGCCCACATCCTAAGCTTTACGGTCCCCTGACTACACCTAGTATATATCTGACCTTCATAAAGATCAAATAAAAACTCCAGCGATGAATCGCTACCTCACAGGTCATTTGCCCGTTACCCCAACATGAGGAGAATCACAAATACATAAGTCTGAGAAAATTCCAGGATCACGCAACTGTCCTTCAGCTACACCCACAAAAGCAACTGGGAAGAGAAATGGGAAGGGTGCTGCTGGAAGTAGCTGGGGAGGACCAACTAGGACACACGCCGTTAGGTGAGGAAAAGCCTCCCACCTACACCAGTCCCTGTGTTCTCAAAGGGCATCTAGCCCACCCTCCCCTCCCCCATCCCATGCTTTAATCCCCCCTGGAAGGTACCCGAGAGAACAGCTACAGAAGCCGGGGGTAACCTGTTGGTTACCAAGAAAGAGGCCAAGGAGAGCTGCACTGGAACGCGGTGGGATTCCTGGGTCAGTTAGGGGGGCCGCTCCGGACCCCTACCCTTCGCTCTGGGGCACAGCCGACGCTTCAAGGTGGCTGCAAGGCCCATGGACCCCACGTTTGGGGAAAGCGTGCTTAGAAGAGGACTCGGATTCCCCCACATCCCCTTCGGCTTCTAGACCCGACCCGGACCCCCAAAAAGTCCCAGAAAGGGTGTGGTGGGCGTCCAGAGCCCCCGGGCGCCGCCGCAGCGCCCTGCCCATCTCCGTGGGGCTTGCCGGGAGAGGAAGTTCTCGGCCTCGTCCCGAAAACGGCCAGTCCGGAGGCTGGGACTACACGTCCCAGGATGCACTGCGCGCCGCAGCCCAGGGCGGGCGGGGGTTGCCCCTGGCAACAGAGAGTTCTTCCCCAGACTTGGAGAAGGAGCGAGCGCGCTCGGAGGGGCGGAGGGGCGAGTCGAGCAACCGAGGGGAGGGAGGCAGGAAGAAAGTGACAGCGCCGGCTTTCGGAGAGACCCCCCTCCCGAGACAGATGCACAGAGAGGACTCCAGAGCCAGCGAGGCAAACAGAGATTGAACCACAGAGAGACAGAGAGACAGAGAGAGAGGGCCAGAGGGACAAATAGACTGGGTCAGGGAGAGGGACAGCGACAGAGATAGAGACGGAAAGGGAGGAGGGAGAGACAGAGACACATATTCAGAGAGACCCCCAGCGACACAGATTCATCGCGCCGGAGACACACATAGATTGAATCACAGAGACACAGGAGGGAGAGACCCCCGGAGAGAGAAAGGGAGGGTCACAGAGACAGAGAGACCAATAGTGGGTCAGCGGGAAAGACAGAGACAGACAGAGAAGAGAGGAGGGGGAGATACTGAGTCGTAAAGAGACAATGAGGGAGAGAAATTCCAATATTGAGAGAGAGAGAGAGACACCCCCTAGCGACAGAAAGGGAGATTGACAGAGCCGGGGGCACAGAGAAACAGATTGCACCAGAGAGAAACGGGAGGAAGAGGCACGCAAAGCCAGAGAGGGAGAGAAAGGGAGAGATATTGGTTCACAGAACCAGAGAAACACAGCCAGAGAAAAGGAGAGACAGAGACAAAGGCATTTGTAAAAAGCGTCGATGAAGACGAGGGTGTGCGGACAGAGAGAGGAAGGGACAGGAGCAAGCATTTAGAAAGCGACTCCCAGAGAGAGAGACAGAGATCAACTCCCAAAGAGAAACGCACAGAGAGGAAAAGACAGACCCACAGAGTCACAGCCTGAAAGAGAGAGAGGGAAAGAGAAGGAGACCAAGGCCCAGACAAGGTGACAGCCATGACAGATGGAAACACACAGCAAGGGAAATAAAGAATTAGAAACAGCAATTCTCAGAAACAGGGAAAGGAAGAGAGAGAGAGAGAGAGAGAGAGAGAGAGAGAGAGAAACTCCAGGAGTAGAGGGGAAGCAACAGAGGTCAACCAAAGAGACACTCCCAGAGGGAGACAGCCATGAAAATTCTGAGGCCCTGAGAAAGATAACGACTCCGGTAGCATCAGACGGAGTGAGACGCCAAGCCTCCCTGTTCACCACTGGGTCCCTAGGACTGAGCACAAAGTTTGCTGATGAAGGAGAGTGAGGCGGTCAGACACAGATAGATACTCGAGTGGGCCAGCAGGACCCACCGTGTCACCCAGGAGAGGAGGGAGGCGGGGCAGGGTGACAGATCGGAGGGGGGAGCCGGGCTCAGAGGATGCCCCCTCCCTCCAGCCAACCCCCGGAGTGGGTGTGTGCACGTGTGTGGGGGGTAGGGAGGACATTTGTCCCGTGTCTCCGGGAGGGGGGCGCCTTTAAGCCGAAACCCCGCCCTCTCGGTCGCCCTGGCAACGCCTCCCCCCACCCGGGGCTCCCACATTTCAGCAGGTGCCAGAGCTGGAGCTCCCACCGCCGCCGCCCGTGCCTCCGGCTCCTCGGCGCCCAGCCTTCGGCGCTTCCCCCACCTGCCCGCTGCCCTGGCGGAGCGGGCGCGCCCGAGGGTGCCGCTCCCGGCCGGCCGGCGCGCTCCGCACCTGGCGGTGCCTCGCCCCTCTCCTTCCCACCTCGGAGTCTCCCGCATCTCCAGCTCCTCTCCCTTCCACCTGTTTCCCCAGAAAGGCAGGATCCTGGTCCCTGCCACGTTCCTGGGGCCATGGCGGGTCTGGGCCCCGGCGGAGGCGATTCAGAGGGGGGCCCCCGGCCCCTGTTTTGCAGAAAGGGGGCTCTGAGGCAGAAGGTGGTCCATGAAGTCAAGAGCCACAAGTTCACCGCTCGCTTCTTCAAGCAGCCAACCTTCTGCAGCCACTGCACCGACTTCATCTGGTGAGGGAAGCGGGCTGGGGGTCTGAGGGAGGAGGGACTGGGGGCGCAGACTCCTGTCACACCGCATTCCTGAGGGATGAGGAAAGAGGGGGCTGTGGCCCTGACTCCTGGGTTCTAGAATGAGGGGGGGGTCCTGGGAGCCTGGACTCCTGGGTCTGAGGGAGGAGGAGGCTGGAGTCCTAGAGTCCTGGGTCAGAGGGAGGAAGGACCAGGAGGCTGGACTCTGTCTGAGAGAAGGGCTGGGGGCCAAAATTTCTGGATTTTAGAAGGAGGAGGTGGCTGAGTTCAGACACCTGCCCCCTGCGGGAGGAGGGTCAGAGGACACGCAGGCCTCCTATGGCTGGCAGAGGTGGGGGTCCAGGTACCCCTTTCTGCACTGACCTCAGATCCTTGCCTCTTCCAGGGGCATTGGAAAACAGGGCCTGCAATGTCAAGGTAAGAGCTGGGGACCAGGACTCCTGGGCCCCTCAGGAGGGTGGAGGCTGGGGCCCCGCAGCTGAGGCTGTTTGACACACGTGTTCTCTGGTCCCCAGAGATGCGCGGGGGAGCCCGGGGCGGGGGGTGTGGCAGAGACACAGCCTGTGGTGGGGAGGGAGCTCTGTGGTGGGGCCACCGCGGAGGTGGTGCTGGGGGCCCCTCCCTCGGCCGGCTCCAGGTGGGGACAGATATTTGGAGAATCTGTTGCCATGGGAACAGGGAGATTTGGAAAAGGGGAGCTGAAGGGGGGAAGGGGGAGGGGGCCGGAGATGCAAAGTCAGAGCCCCCCAACCAAGGCTGCTGTCGCCATGACAACATCAACTGTCCTAGGCAGGGGCAAGCCGGGTGGGGTCACCGATGGATGAGTGAGGGCCAGGCGGGGTGATGATTCTGGGGGGCGGGAGAGGGGGGCGAGTCCTTAAACACCAGCTGCTACTGCTGGGAACAGAGTGAGTCAGGGTAGGGGGCGGGTGGGCCGCAGCGCCCCCAGACTCACTTCTGCCCAACTTGCTGCTCTCTGCTGTTTCTGAGGATATTTCTGTTTTCTCTTTGAATCTGTCTGCCTCTTTCCTGGCTTCCTTATCTCGCCCGTGGCCTGTCTGTTTGTCAATGGGATCCTATATTCTTTCTCTGTCTGCCTTGGGCTGTGTGTGTGCATCGAGGGCTTGGTGTCTCTCTTTTTGTCTTTCTCTGAGTCCATCTCTTGAGTTTCTGTCTCCTGGTGTTCTCTCTCTCTCTCTCTTTCCACTTTGGGGTCTCTTCTCTGATTTTCTCTCTGTTGGACTCCCTATGCTGAGGTCCCTCTCTCTCTGGTTTTATTTCTGTCCAAGTCTCTCTCTCTCTCCTTCCCATGTTCTGCCTTTTGGGGTCTCTCTCAATCTCTTGGATTGATCCCTGTCTCTGTCTATGTGTCTATGATTTTCACCTTCAGTCTGCAGCTTTGTGGTTCATCGACGATGCCACGAATTCGTGACCTTCGAGTGTCCAGGCGCTGGAAAGGGCCCCCAGACGGACGTGAGTGCCCGGACACCTGGTTCTCCCTCCTCAGGCCGCGCCCCCGCCCTCACCCCCTCGGCGTCCGTCCCAATTTCTCCTGCTATTTTTAAGGCTGGGAGGGGAGGGGGGCTGGAGAGATAGGGGGAGCTAT